GAGAGAAGGCATGTTGTTTTTTTTTTCTTTAAGTTCTTAAATTAAGGAGAAATATTTATTTCTGTAGTAGTTCAGATCCACTGTATTGCTTCTCAGCAGTGTCATATTTAGCTCTAGTAAGTCACAAGCATATTGAGGGCAGATAGTGGGTACAAATCTGACAGAAAGCTAATGAGCTCTCCTGTGATTATCAGTAAGGACTATGACTCATTAAATCTCATTTCCTGAGAAAGTCCACATAGGGAGAAGAAATTATCTGGAATAAAGGCCTGAAAACCTAATTCAATCAGATTTATAGGTGTTCTTGTAGTCGCTACATAATAATCGGTGAAAACAGGGAAACCTTTTAATGAGATCTTTTGAAATGGTTAATGTTTCAGGGAGGGGGGTCTGCTTCACTTGCATTGAAGATACAGGCAAAATAGCTGCCCATCTCCCACACTGAACAGATTGATGTGTGTTGTGGGTTTTTTTCACTTGTCATTCTATCAGTGTGATTACAGCTGATATAATAAATAGACACTTATGTACAGTATGACTTTCATTCAGAGTTGTGCTTAAAAATGAACCGGGCTTGTCTGGTTTGGATAGGTTGTGATTGCCTTGATACAGATTTTCTTCTTGTGATGCATGTCTGTTTGTGGTATGGTTTTCATATATTATTTAGAGAGGAAATGTCTCTCCCCTGTTTTAGTGAAGAAAGACTTCCACTGATTTTAATGAGCTTCGGCTCACCTTCTAATAGAGTAGCATTACAAGAAGTTTTTGTTTTAACAGTTTTATATTTCTGTGGAGATATATGGACACAATCTCACATTATGTTGCATTCTAACAATATGTGGATAGTGGCAGTTAGTGTAGTCTCACAGTGCAGTAAGGAGAGACCTGTCCTTGTCTGACAGACAACTGAGGACCATAGGGCAGTTGTTCACATTTGTAACTCACAGAGTGGGATCTGAAGACTTCAGCAATTAAGCTGGCTTGCCACTGTAACTGTGCTGCTCTTGCTGTTGGGAAGGACCTCACACTGACTGCTACAAGCTCTGGTTTTGAACTGTTTAAATTATGGATGTGTCCCTTGGATTGGGCCAAGCTGGCCACTTAGAAGCTCAGTTTTCTGTTATTATGTTTTGTAATTCCAGCTTCTTCCAGCATCTCTTTTGCACTCTGTGACGAGTTTTCTCTTCTTTTCCTCTATGACAAGGCAATAATGTTGCCACTGAAGTTAATGAGGACTTACGTGAGCATTGCAGAATAGTAGGAATAATGCATGGATTGATTTTTTTCAATTTCTTTTGTATTTTCCCCCTGTTCTCACTGCACACGACCTGCAGGGGGGACACAGGGCCGCTTGCCGGCAGCTTGACTGCTGCTCCTGGTTCTTTGCAGGCACCTGAACTTACTGAGGATTTCAGCTTGAAATGTCTCCATAGGAGGACAAAATGCAGCAGGTTGAGTTTTATATTCTGAGGGGGGGAGGGGGTATGAGATTAGGGCTGTTTGTGACAATTTGGGTTGGTTTTACTTGGGTTTTTTTTTCCCTTGTGTGTTTTGTGCATCTCTGGGGGATGTAGGATGGGGTTTGGGGGCTTTTTCTCTTTTTTATTTTTTTTTTTCAATTAGGTATCTGAACCTGCTAGGTCAGTATGAAAGCACTCATTTACAGAAAACTTCAGTGTACTGGGATCTTTGACAGCTATAGAACATTATATATAAAAGCGTATTAAAATACCTATCCACATATGAGTTGGGAAAGCACTCACTTCAGATACATGAACTGTGCTAGGCCATGTTATGTGCTCTATATGAAGAGGAATCAGAATTTCTAACAATTGAAATAGCATATATTAGCTTTCTGTGGTACTGTGGTTGATGATCTGGTTGATTCTGCTGGCACTAAATGATCTCAGAACAGGGAGATAAAAGTGATGTGATTATTAAAATTACAAACAGGAATGTATAGTTTAGTTTGATCTCACAAGGTGGGATCAGAAAGGAGCCCAAGTTCAGCATCCGGGGAATGAGAACATAAATGCATTTCTGAACACCTTGGAGTTTCTTTCAGTGTTTCTATCTGAGCTTTAAGGTTTATAAAACTCTTTATTTCATCACTTTAAATCCAGCCCTCCTGGTATGAGAACTAGGGATATTGATGTTTTATCCAAATGCAGTTTGAAGTACATAGAATAAAAATAAATGTGGGACATGCTCTTCCTGTGGACATGTCAGCAGCTGTATGCTTGGAACTTACTAGTAGAAGAAAAGTGATCTCTGAACATACACATCAAGGCAAAAAAAGCCTTTGCTGCGGCAGTTGTTACTTGCCTTTGATGCTAAAAGTTAGTCCAGTTTCACCAGCTTTAGCAGAGCCAGACTGGGTGTCCATGTCTGGGCAGCTTGCAGTGTGTGAGTGGCTGTGCCCTACCTCCTCTGAAGGTGAGGCAGCAGGATCTCTTGATGAGTTGATTCAGGCCCTTTCTCTGCCATTTATTCTACAGTCCTCCAGACAAATTGCCAAAGAGTTTGGGTTTGGTTGAAGGGGTGTTTACCTCCGTCTTAGCTGATGCTCAGTTCCAGCCAGCACATTGCATGTCATCTGTAGGATGTACTAGTCGGGAATTAAATCAAAACCACAGAAAAATATGCTGCACTTTATAACTTGAAAAAGCATTTGTTAATGTGGATATATGAGGTGGAAGTTAGGGAGGAGCAGTTTGTGCTATGAATCACACTTTTCTGTTTGGGATAGGAAAGTTATTTAGATGTTCTGCGTGCTTGTCAATGGAATGTGCTTCAGGAGTGTTTTATAATGACAAAAAGAGTCATGTGCAAGACAAAAATAAGAAGCACAATTAATTCTTACTCTGCTGAGAAGTGCAGCCAGATTAAAAGAGGAGTTGGAGAAGTGTAAATATTCCTCTGGTAATATATCCAGAATGATGCTTCCCTGTATTAGTCAAAAAGAGCCATTTTTTTTACTCTATTGTAGGAAAGACTTGGGAACGCTGCTAGCAAGTAAGTTCCCTTGTCTAGCAGATGTGAAAATCTGCAGCTTTATATGATATTTTCAGTTAAAAATGAGTGAAGGATAGAAAAGGTCAAAGACTTAATTTGAGATTTTTGCTGGTTTGCTGGTGGGGTTGTTGCTTTTTACATTGGAGATTGAAGCTTAATATCTGAAAGACTAAAATTATAAAGCAATACAAAGAAATCATGTTGGGTCACTCAGAAAGATGATTTAGGCTGCAGTATTGCAACTTCAGTGTTTCTTTTTAAAACCTACTCATTTCTTAGTCTAATCTCTCCAGGGATATGTGGATTATCTTGATTTTTCTATTTTACTACTACTGGACAGCCTGTTGTCCAAGAGCCTCAAAGATGTTACTAGTACTTGGGGGTAAGAGGGGGAAATGTATAGTATCGTATTAGTGAACAAAAGGCTCTTGTGGGTCTGTTCTCTGTGATAATACTCTGAAGGCCTCTGTGGGCTGTTTTGAAGTGCTTGGAAACCACAGTGATGAGAACTGTATTAATGCCTGGATAAGTTGATTAGTTATGTGACGTGGGTAACTCCATTTAATGCACGCATCAAACTGAAACTAGACTCCTTAAGGCTAATTCACTGCGTCATTAGGAGCCAGTGAAATTCCTGCAGCAGTGTGTTCAGATGTGCTGGCACTCTATTTCTGTGGAAAATGTAGAATTTAAAGGAATGGCTGGAAAAGTGGCCTACAAGAGAGCAATCCAAAGGTGACAGAAGCATGGACTGATGTCAGCCATGTGGAAGCATGGTATTGGTCAAAGGCTGAAAAACATGTGATGAAGGGGAAAGGGCTTTGATATATTAATGATAGTAAATCATAATCAATTTATGCACTATCTACAATTTATATTCACTTGGATAAGCTTGAAATCCACCAGATTAACATGTCAAAAGCACACACTGTATATTTGTTCCACCTAATCCCCACTGGTAGTTCAGGCTCTTCAGAAGGAATAAATCAGGAGCAAAGTAACCCCATCAGGTTACTCAATTACTAGCTCAAAACTATTCTTAAGCTAAAAATGGGACATCCTGCACATCAGTCAGTCTACCTATCATTTTTTGCACCCTGTCACGGTGCAAGAGGACTGGCATTTTGGCAAAGTGATAATAAAATTAACAAGGTCCATTTCAAGTCAAAAGCTAGAACTCTGTTTTGGGGCTCCATTATCTTCCTAAGGGTCTAATGAGGAGGGACAGGCAATTATTATTATTTATTTCACTAATAAGATGGATAATCATTTCTTGTGAAACTTTTATGTGTTAGAAACGTGTTCCTTGTACACTTTGTTTAGCGCAGTTGCCTTTTTATCAGACTGAACTGTTGTGTGACATCTTTTATTAGCAGGGCAGTAGGAGGGCACTTGGAGAAAGAAGGCGGGGGGGAAAGGTGATTTTTGATCTGTGAAGATAATGCAACAAGAAGCAACAGTCCATAAAAACATCACCTTTCAGTCTCTGAAGACATAATGCTTTATGATAACCATAAAACATTTTAGTGCAAAATAAATTGCTGTCCTATTCAAATCCTTAAATGTACTACGGTGGATGTCACTGAAGACATACAGCTATTTTTTGCAATACTGAGATATATTTTATCATAATTTGTGGTGTAGGTGACAACCTTGCACACGATTGCCTTTTCTTGCTTAGTTAGCTTGCCAAGGTCAGAGTCCTTTGGCCTTTTATGGGTGTAGAACTATTAGGAAATAAACAGGATCACCAGGTAGCATCAAAAGGAAACTTGTTTCCTTGACTTGTTCGTCATATACCCTTTAAAGATTTGATAATGTTCTGAGTATGCACTTACTGATAATGACTTCTTTATACATGCTTTAACAGATTCTTCTCACTTGTAAAATATACAGGTGATTTTTTTCTCATTTTCTTCTCTTTTTCACTTTCTTTTTAAATTTAGTTTCATTTTGTTGTTTTGATTTTGTTTCCAGCTAATTAGTTAACAGCATATTGGCTTTGGAGCTGCTGTGAGGAGAATAATGGATGGCAGTTAATGGAAAACACTGCAGTTACAATTCAGCTTAGAAGTCCTGAGCCAGGTAAGCACCTCAATTTCCCTAGAGTTGAACTCTTCAGATGTCATTTCATGTTGTGCCACTGGTGAGGCCTTTGGAATGGGCATTCTCAAGGTGTTTCTGGAATTTCATGTTCATTTTTTGCATCAAAACTGTGGAGAGGAGGTTTTATTCTACAATGTTTTTGTGGTCTTTCTGTTGCTCATCATACCAAAGTAGAACATCATGGGAAGGGTATAAGAAAATGCTAATAATGGTGGCTTATTTGGCAACATTATGTAGGAGATACTCCCCCACTCCATGGATGTATTTGCCTGGGCTGATTTGTTTAAATTTGCTGTAAAATAAGATAGATTGAGTGGAATGGGGGAAAAAAAAGGGTTGATAAAATCCACATGGAACCATGGAAATGTGTTGACCTGATTGGTGACATTTATATAAATCCTGTACAAGTGTGAAGAAAAACAAGTTTAAAATTCATTTTATATGTTTGCCTTTCAAATACATTGAAGTTTTTGAAACAGAAAATTGGTCACGATAAAACTTTACCCTCTATCTGGAGTTGTTGGGATGAAACTGTGCCTTAAAGGAAGCCAGTGGTGTTTTTAATGTAATTAAGAATTCAGCCATGAGTGTTCATTTATATGTGGATTGGTGGTGATACTGTATTAGAAAACGAGGATTTTGTCGTTCTGTTGTGGAAAACTGAAAACCCTTCAGCCTGTGGTCAGTGCATAAAGGTTGCTAGCATTCAACAGTTTGCCAAATACCCTTAAAGGACAGATGTGAAATTGCCTGGTGGTTTGCTTCAGAAAACCTTTTCTCAGATAAAGGGTCCCATTTCAAATGATCAGAACTCCATATGGATTTGAGGATTTGGAAGAGCAATATTTGGATTTGTAGAGCCAGCTCCTGTGAAACTCTTGGCAGGATGAGAATTTCCACTCTTTGTTAACTGTCACCTCCAATCATATTCATTTAAAAATGGCTCATGAGAGGTTTTTAATTATTTACTGTGTTACCAATATGGTAAAGGTTGTACATGAGAAATAACCATCTCTTTTATACCAGTTACAGGCTACAAGCAACTTTTTAGCCTTTTTGAGTCTGAAGAGTATGTTACAGCATTTAGAATATATAGATCACTTATTAAACTATTAAGAAATGGGCGATTAATATAACAGTTTTTGCATATTTGTAGCAATAGAACAAGAGGTAATGGGTTTAAATTAAAATAGGGGAAGTTCTGTACTGTGAGGGTGGTGGGCACTGGAATGGGTTGCCCAAAGAAGTGGTAAATGCTCCATCCCTGACAGTGTTCAAGGCTAGGTTGGACAGAGCTTTGGGTGACATGGTCTAGTGTGAGGTGTCCCTGCCCATGGCAGGGAGGTTGGAACTAGATGATCTTAAGGTAAACAGGGGAAGTTTAGATTGGATAAAAGAAGGAAATTCTTTCCTGTTATGGTGGTCGGGCACTGGAATGGGTTGCCCAGGGAGGTTGTGAATGCTCCATCCCTGGCAGTGTTCAAGACCAGGTTGGATGAAGCCTTGGGTGATATTTAGCGTAAGGTGTCCCTGCCCATGGCAAGGGGGTTGGAACTAGATGATCTTAAGGTCCTTTCCAACCCTAACGATTCTATGATTCTATGATTAAGGTCTTTTCCAACCCTAACTATTCTATGATTCTATAACATGACATTTTTTATGTGCACATCATATGATTGGCAACCCATACCATGTAAGAAAATAGCTACCCAGGGAGACTGGGGCTTTTATTCTCACTTTTTTAATGTTTCTCCAGTTGTTGCTCATTGCTTGTTGGCAGTTTATTTTAGATATTACAAATAATAAAGGCTGCAGCAGTAGGAGTGTTTAGCTTTTGGATTCAACAGACACATATATTTTAATTTAAATGACAATATCTAGCAACAAAATTGCTTCATTTTAACTTCACTGCATTTCTTAATCTGTTGGAACTATAATTTAAAAATAATGAATTAAACAGGGTGAATATATGGCTTCCATTAATTCCAAATACTGCTTATTTTCAGCACTTTTTAATTATTTGAATATACTTCTCAATATATTTAACTGGAGTGGAAAAATCATTCAAACCTCAGTCCATTTACGATTACCAGTGTATCTTTAACTTTCCAAATTACTGAACTACAGACTATCATTTTGAGTACCTGTTTTTCCTGTGTGTTTAAAGCCCCCGCAATAGTTGAGAAAAATGTTTGGAAAGATGCAGGTTTCACAAACAGTGAGCATCACTGAATGTCTGTTAATAATCACAAGTTCTGCTTGGAAGTTGTCTTAAAAGGCTGACTGAAACACAGGGACATTAATGTTGGTACTGGGAATCTGTGCTGCGTCTTGCATCCTTCTATTACCTTAAGATGGCACTTTTCCAAGAAGCAGGAGCCCACAGGCTGTGAGGATTTTTTGATCACCAAGAACCTTTAGTTTTAATGTACATTGTATGTGCAGGCACAGAAGGAGATACAAGGCCAAGGCCTCGCATTATGTAAACTTGTTACCTGCTTTGTGGATCTGGTTTTGAAGTTTTGTCTTCTCCTCATAGAACATTATTTTCTTCTGACTGTAGAGACTAACCACTGAGTTCTTTCCTTGTTTTTAAGGTAATATCTTACCAAATTTCATACTGGCATGGACTGGTGACAGAAATCATACACCTGTTTGTATTATGAGGCTTATAGATACTGATGTGAAATCTTTCCCACCTTTTCCTGACTGTACCCGAAGTCAAGTAATAAGTAGCTGTGTATGACTTAAAGTGGCATTTCGTTGTGATGATAGGACTCCATGATGTAGTGAGAATTTTGGAGTACATGATCTGTATCCCATGGCAGCAGTTTCCCTGCCTTGTAATAACCTGAAACCGAGCATGAAGATTGACAGAGAAACAGACAAATATATTAATGTTTTTTTGTTCTGGCATTCTTGTGCACTTATGTTCAAATAGACCTGGACATTGTGAATAACTAGTTCAGGCATTACAATGTGTTGGATAATAAGCATTTGCACATTTTCCTTGCTGATTAGAAAGAAAAAATGAAACTAGATATCCAGTTGATTCAGTTATTCTGGCCTGCTGCTGGGTTTACAGCGTGAACAGGGCTTTTCTAATCTTAGATTGTGATCCTTCAGTAGAAATCAAAAGACCAGTTAAAGAACAGATGCCAGTGATGGCATCTGTTGTTTTCTCAGGAGACTAAAATTAACTAACTTCTTAAGAGCTCACGGAACCTGATACTGCCTGTGGCAGGGCAGTGTGGATCTGTAATGTGCTTTGACATCAACTTAGTTAGCTTGCTCATGTTTTGCTTGCCACAGTTGTAGGTAGTGAGAGAAAGTAAGCTTTGGACCAAAGTCTTACTGCTCAAAGCTCAGGAAGCTACGTGGTTGTTTTTCTTTGCTGCTGTGCCATCTGAGCAAATCTTGTCAGCATGGGAAGGGTAATGAGAGCTAAGAAAAGAGAAATTGCCTTGTGAGGATGTTTCAAGAGCTACTCCCTATAACTGACAGGTCTTTACTGTTGAATTCCTTCACTGACTCCAAGGTTAGTTTTCGTAGTGTTCTTCAAGGTGCTGTGCACTCTGCCTTCTTTAACATTTGCATGTAAACTCTTTACTTTTCTCTTGTAATGCCTCTAAAGTTGCCACACCAGCTCTTCTTTGTGTTGACTTCTTTATACAGGTGATAGGTTTTATTTTTTTGTTTGGTTTGGGGGTTTTGTGTTTTTTTTTTCCTCTTTTTTGTGCCAGATTGCTGGTTTCTGTCCATCAGTCACTCCGATATAGGAATCGTGTTTGCACTGTTAATCTCTCACAAAAACTCTACCCCAAGAGAAGCATTAGCTGGTATTTTATTCCAGACTCTCTCTTCCTGTTGTTGCAAGTCCATGATTCATCTCTAAACAAGTGTCACTGTCACTGAGTAGTTGGTAAGGCCTAAGCAATGACAGTGGGCCAAGTCCTAAACTCTTTGCTCAGTTTCCATTCCATGTACCGTGAAAATTTTCCAATTCAGAGTTTAAAAAGGGAAATAAATCATGAAAGAAAATGGCATGTGTACATAAAGAAACACGTTACACTGGGGGCTCGTTCACCTGGAGGATGCCTGCCCAAAATAACCTCCCAGAGAGAATAAACACTAATCTTTGATCTGCAGTATGCCACAGTTTTCCCTTTAGTGTTCCCCATGCTCCACTATGGGCAACTGGTATGTGGGATATGTGGTGTGGTTCTCTGGCTCTCTTTTCTGGGAGCTGTCAAAATTTCTAAGGTGACGAGAAGGCTGCAGTAGTTCAGATCAGTGCGTAGCCATGCTCAGAAAGCTCAGCCTGTGTCCAGTTGAAACAGCCAGGAGCCAAAACAATTTACTCAGATGGTCATAAGTGGTTACTGAGCAATCACTCCAGCTGAAGATCATAGGTGTAAAATTAGAAGCACTGGCATTGTCAGAAGCTTGTGCAGGTAAGAATTCTTCATTTGTATGGAATCTTCTTATCTGATAAAAATGAAGCAGGCCAGTTACTGAGATTTTGCCTTCAATGTCTTCAAAGCATTCCAGCCAATTTACAGGCAAGGAGGTGCCTTTTTGCAGGCTCAGGGCCTCAAACCTGAGGAACTCAATAAATAAGAAATGTGTGTAACTGTAAATAGAGCACCTCTACTTAATCATTTCATTCCCTTCCACCTGCTTCCAAAGAATAAAGTTTCAGGCAAAAATCCCACATGTCAAGTTTCATTTCTGTTCACATATTTCTAAGTGAATTGCTACTCCCCCCTGCCCCTCCCAACAGGAGTTCACAGAAGTGCAGCCAGACCTTATTATTCTGTTTATGATAGGATGGTCTATTCCAGGACGATGCAGTCCGTAGTAAATCTATCTGCAGAATTAATTCTGGGCTTGGGAGAAAGAGATGCAAGTAAAAGCTATAATGATTTACAGTTTGAAGACACAGCTGATCTGAACATAAACATTGAATCAGTTTCTTC